ACAAACATGGATATGATTGTGTTTCACTGCTGCAGCCAAGCAAACAGAAACAAATCAAAACACCAGAGAGAGCCTCTTAGCTTTCCCTGTTCTGCACCTTGTAAGACCTAGGAATTGCAACAGCAAAACTATCTGAAAATGCACAGCAATAGCAGTGTTACCCTCACCTGCTGGAAAGGGTCCATTCCTTTAGAAAAAGGCAGAATTTGTATGGAAAAATTATAGTTTTTATTAGACTAAAGCCTTACACCCTTTCCTCACATACTGAATGGTTAGGAAGTAATTTAGAGAAATATTTATTGTATCAAAGGTTCGCTGGCCTTCCTCAAACACAAAAAGAAGTCCAAGGGTACCAAGGCATCCAGGCCGAAACTGCAGTAGCAAGTTTCACTGCTTCTAACATGCCTCACGTACACAAGATAGCCGAACAGCCTCACTGCAAAGCACGCTTCCCAGTGCTTATCCCACGTCAGGGAGCAAAGACCTCAGAATGACACCTTTGGATGGCAAAACGGGCAGCATTGAAGTCTTGAAGCGTTTAAAAGCTTCACAATTGCTCAAAGAAGTAGTACTTGTATGCTACTATGAGAGAAGGGCAAGGAAGTGACCAAAAGATAGCCATACCCCCCCCAAAAAGGTGTGAGAGAGATGGAGAAAACCTTGAGAACATATTCAAATGTACCATATAACTAAACAGATCAGATGGAAAACAAAACAAGATGCAGCTTCCTAGGCAGCTTGAGACATGGCTAGGAAAGTTATTTTCTGACACTTCATATCATTCTTCTTCTGATATCTGCTCCCCACAATCCAACAAGAAGTTAAAAGTTATAACCTGAGGCTTTCATGAACTTTCCTCTATAGAATGAAGCATTCATTCATTACTTCTACCAGCTAGTACTACAGACAGATGCTATTATAACATACCTATCAGGTTCTACCCATACTGTGTTATGTACATTCAGCAGTTGATAATAAATCCTGCACTGTAAAGTACTTCATAAAAAAGTCTTATCCTTATTTGACTTGAGAAGAACCTAACAAACTTCCTTCTCCTAATAAAGTTGCACAGACAGAACTTAAATCTCAAAATCATTATTCTAAGTCTTGACAGAGGCCTGAGAGTTGTCAACAGTTATATCTGACAACACCATATATTTAAAAACCTGTTCATAAAATTGCATATGACTGTATAGAATGCAGCCTGAGATTCTGTATAATGCTTGCATGGTCCCTGCTCAGTCAACATGTGTGAAGAACTCATGGAAATTTAAAAGACTCAACATGTAACATTTCTGCAGAAGGCCACAGAAATGATCAGAGGGATGCAGCATCTCTATTACGAGGAACAGCTGAGAGAGTTGGGGCTGTTCAGCCTGGAAGCAGGCTCTGGGGAGACCTTACTGTGGCCCTTCAGAACTTAAAACGGGGCCTGTAAGAAAGATGGGGACTTTTTAGCAGGGCCTGTTGTGACAGGACGAGGGGTGATGGTTCTAAACTAAAAGAGGGAGATTGAGGCTGGATGTGAGGAAGAAATTCTGTACAATGAGGGTGATAAAATCCTGGCACAGGTTGCCCAGAGAGGTGGTGGATGTGCCATCCCTGGAGATGTTCAAAGCCAGCCTGGATGTGGTTCTGGACAACCTGATCTAGTTGAAGATGTCCCTCCCTGCTCACTGTAGGGGGATTGGACTAGATGACCTTTGAAGGTCCCTTCTAACCCAAACTATTCTATGACCCTATGAAGAACAAGCTGCACTCTAACTACAGCCATATCTTTGCTGCAGTGCTCACTGTCTACACAGGAATCTTCATTGCCTAACAATAGAATGGAAAAACTAACTGTGGATCTCAGAGCTAACTCTTCTACACGCTGTTCTTAACAGAAGGTAAGAGTATTTATTTTGGGGCTGGAAGAGAGGGGAAGTCCCATTCACCGAGGAACAGAACAGGGAAGCTACTCATCAAAATTCCTGATAACAGTGTTATCACCTTAAAGGAAGCTGGAACTCAGCACTGCCTTGCAATAAAGTGTCTGAGCATCACGTCACACACGGGTTTGGCCTCTGTATCTGGGAGTGCCATTAAGATCTTAGGGAATTTTGATCTCGCTCTGCTTAATGCTTCAAGCCTATTCCAGGCATGCCTGCAGCAAGTTAAACACTTCTTTTTTGGTTCTAATAATTCAGTGAATTGAGCTTTCCCTAAGGTAAGACATAAGGTTACACTGCAGAATTTAGTCTATGTTGATCATAAAGGAGCACTAGCCTGAAGAATCTCAGACCCTCACAGTCAGGAAGTTAGTACTGTTCCTGTTAAAGGAACATAGAAAATAACTGACCATGGTATTTCCAATACATTAACATGTATTTTATATTCTTGTTCAAATGGCATACTAACAAGCACAGTATGGATATAAGTATGTTACATTGGAGAATTAATATTTATACACTACTTTGGCATGCAAAGCTGCTCTGCAAAAGTGACAATAGAGTGTAATTCACTAATGGCAAATTAATTACAGTCATTTAACAAATGCAACACCCATGTGTCACTGACTGATGAAGCAAAGTAGTTTGCCTAAAAGCATAAATAGTTGGTGTTTCAGTTCAACTTATGTTCTTCTTGGTCTTTTTTATTTTAATTTTCATCAAATTGTTATGCTAATCCTCAAAATTCATTGCAGTAGTTTCCCAGATAAAAAGAAACAATTTGGCCAATTTGCAAGTTACAAAACAAGGGAGGGGACTTCAAGCATGCTTATGATAGGCAAGATAAATGCCAGATACCACACCTAGACAAGCCTGAGCAAGTTGCCATCAGGACAAAAAAAATGCTTCAAGTTATTTTTCACCATGCTGATGCTACTAATGGATGATCTCCTGTGGAGCTACTTGTTCCAAGCGTCTAGTTATTGCAAGGAATCAAGAAAACACAAATGTAGACAAGTGCCTACATTCAGTGTGATGTGGAGTACATGTATCAATGACAACACAGAATATTTAAATTGAAAGAAAGAGTAATATCTCAAGTGAGGCCTTCTTCACAGGTGTTGCAGTATTAAACAGCTATTCATCCCAATAAGAAATACTAAGTTTTCTAGAACAGAAGCAAGTAGATTCGTTACCATCTTGTGACTACATAAGGTTAGTGTATTTTCAAACTTACTACTTACATTCCTAACATACAGCATTCCTTATTTGCCAGTAGATGAAGGGAGTGTACCCCTCTTAGTGCTTTTCCTGCACTCAGAACTTTCCATCATTCCAGCTGCTATCTTCTTTAATATGCCAATTTCAGAGATTTGCAAAAGACAAAATATAGTCTAGTACAGCAATCAGTAGATTATTACATGCCATAGGAAAGTATGAGCAAATTCAGAGTTATTCTGAAGCAGGCTTCCTGCATCTGAATAAACAGTTTCCTAGGTTATTGATCCTCAGCACTGCATTCACATTTAATCCAGTCCCTTCTGGCAGCTAGGCAGGTTGCAAGACAGCGTTTAAACAAGAAGATAAGTTTTACCTTTGAGCAACAACTGGCTGCATGTTTTAATGATTCCCTTGTGCTTAGTGCAAACTGCACAATACTCCATAATAGGACATCCTTTCATCACTAGGAGAAAGGCATGCACCTTCTTCCCCCACAAACTACCTTGACGGTATAATGAGCAACCTTGCAACAAAGCACTCCTACTGAGCAGCTTGGCACTATGAGAAGAGTTATGTTTTCTTAAGGGCAAATATTCCTTTATAATAAAAGGGTTTGAGAGCTTTCTGTTAATGTTCAACCACTGTGCTGAGGTTTAGACCTAGGAAGTAATAGCTATGCGGTCTTTAGGTCAATGCACCAACAACACGCAGGTGGCAGGCCCTGAGAACAGAAACCTTGGGCACCCTGTGATGGCCAGACTGGAGAACTCTGCTTTGGCAGAGAATAGGATGCATGACAGAAAAGAATATCCAGCATGCTACAAGATTCAGAAACACAGGAATTTTACATTGACTTCCTTTTTCCTAAAAGAGAGCTTCTGGGGAAGTTGGTTAGTATTTAGACAGGTTCTATTATCAAGAGAATGAATCCATTAAAGTCACCTTGCACCTTAATGTTTGGTTTACATGAACAACAATGAATGAGCAGTACTGAAAGCACCTTGAAAGCAGTTGGCAACTTACAGGCAGATTTTCAACTTCAAGGTAAAGAACTCAGGCGGTAAAATGCAAGTCCTACACCAGCCCTATTCATCTCAATATCACACGAGACACAAAAAACTATGACGATTTGCTCCACTTCTACTACGCCTCTTACAGGGCCTCAGCTTCTCGGTTAATTCAGAGTTTAGCTGCCTTAAGTGTTTCTCTTGCCTCAAGAGCACATCCTTAAGACTACAGCGGTATTGCAAACCTGTACTTTAACGGCACGGACAGCTATCCGGCTATACTCATCTCTTATGAGGGAGACAAAGAAACTTAACTTTAACTTCTGCTTTTCTTAAACAGCTTTAAAAACCGAGAACCAGAGACCTTACAAAGAGGAACAAGCATCAGCCACATGTTACATCAGTACCTAAAGAGGGGGTTGGTCCGATTTTAGAATAAACGGCGGAGACACATGATCCAATTAAATTCTAATTATGTAAGTAGTAGGAAAGAGTACTTACACAGGCACTGATTACAGTTATTAGAGTCTAAAGTCTCCGGCCGGAGAGGCTCTGCTTCCTCTTCGCCGTCCCGACCGCACTACCGCGGGGTTCGTTTCATTGTTACCCCCCCTCCCCTTCACAGCTCTCGTTGCAAACAATAGAAGACACTGCCCTGAAAAACCCATCTTCAAACCGTGCCCCCTCTCCAGCGAGACTGGAAGAGCCGCCGCTCTCAACAGTGATGATTCATTACCCGTCCCATTGGGTAGGAAGGCGCCCCCCCAACCATCACCACCACCCCCGCCCGCCCAAGCCCCCAGCCCCACGGGCAGCGAACCCCTCCCGGGATGGCGCTTACCTCCGAACAGGTGCGGCGAGAGGTGAGCGGGCAGCGAGCCGATTACCAGCCGGGGCCCGCCGGAGGAGCCGCTGCCGCCCCCGGCGGGCCGCTCCCGGCCGCCCTCCTCCGGGGTGCTGCTGACCGAGTCCTGCGAGCCGTAGGGACCGCTGCTGTGGGGGATGTTGAAGGAGGACTGCGCGGCCCGGGCCCCGGAGGCGGTGGCCCCCCCTAAGGACCTGCTTCGGGGGGCCGACCCCGCGGCGGCACCCCCCGCCACTGCCGTCGCCGCTCCTCCTGCCGCCGCCGCTGTCGCGCCGCCGGGAGCAGCATGAGGCGCCGCCGCCAGGTGCGCGTACCGCCCGCCAGCGCCCGCCGAGCGCCCGCCGGCCCCGTTAGCGCCGCCGCCGCCGCTGCTGGAGGAAGGTAAATCCCCGCCTGAGTACGCCCGGGTGCGGCCATTGGCGGCGGTGGGGCTGCTCTGCTTCGCACCCATGGTCCTGCCGCCGTCTGGCGCTGCCCGGTGCCCTTCGCCGCCGCCTTCCCCGCGGCGCCCGGGGGTGGTGGAAGTCCGGCCCCGGCGAGGGCGATCCGAGGCGAGGGTCGCGCCGGGGAAGGGGGAGAGGGTGGGCCGGGAAAAGGGAACGGGTCGCTTGGTGGGTCGGTGTCGAGAGGGGAGAGCCGCCCGCCGGGATCCGGCTCAGCTGGCGGCCCCGGCGCGGCCGTTGCTCGCGGGTCTGGGGCGCCACCATGAGCTGCTCGGGACGGTGCTGGCTCCCTCCGCGCGGCCGCTCGGCCCCACCACCACCACCACCACCACCGCCGCTGCTGCTGCTGCTGTGCCCACCGCCGCCGTGACCGCTGCCGCCATCCTCCGCCGCCGCTGAGCCCTGTGGGGGGCACCGGCGGCAGCAGCGCCGCCGAGGCCGCTCACTCGCCCGCGGCGCGTCGTGCCTGTGCTGAGGGAGGCGGGAGGGGGCGGTCACCTCACCGCAGCCGCTCCTCTACCGTGTCGCCATACTGGGGGCGGGACGGGGAGCGGTTACGGCGGCGGTGGCCCCCGCCTCTCCTTCCCGCCCCCCGTCGACCGGCGGGGAAGCGGGCCCGGCGCCTCAGCCCGCTCCTCACGCAAGGTGCGGGCCGAGGCCGCCGCTGGGGCCGTCAGCGGGGGTGGGGTACCGGAGCGCGGGGCCGAGGAGAGAACCTGCCGGCAGCGGAGGGTGGAGGGTCGGCTGCCTGCGAGGAACGAAGCCCGCGGGGTGCCGGAGGGTCCCCCAACGCGGCAGGCGTTAGGCGGTGATGCTGGCGGGCCGGGCGAGCAAGGCGGCCTTTGAGGGCGGCCGTTGGCGGTGGCCTGAGGCGGCGGCCCGCGAGTCCTGAGGCGGCTCAGAGCCGGTGCCGCCAGGTGTAGGAGCAGAGGGGATAGGGCCAGGTGACCGAGCGCCGGGCGCTGCACCCGAGGCGGCCCGTTCCCTCCTGGCTTGCTGTTGGAGCTTCCGCAGAGCGCGCAGATGCCCGGACTCCGCCTCGGGCGGGATGGGCCACGCCGCGCTCCGGCTGAGGGCGAAGGGCCCAACCCGCCGCTCCCCGAGCCTAGGCTTCGCTGAGTGCCCCGTAAGGGTTGCTCACCCCCGCCGGGAGCTTTATCGTGTAGCTCGGCTTTAGCTCTTGAGGTTTGCTGTGAGTCTCGGTTCTGGTGTATGTGGGGGAGAAGCTGGATGAGAAGGATGAAAATCTGTTACATTTTAAGGTTTGATGTAGGAGAACCCCGTAGACCTTAGTCTCTCAGAGAAAAACTCCCATTACTATTGATGAACGCTTTACCCGAGGATTGACTAACACTGAATGGTTTGGGTTGGAAGGGACCATAAAGAGTTAATCCAGTTCCAACTTCCTTCCACTAGACCAGGTTGCTCAGTTTATATGAGCATGAGTTTATAGGAGCACAATTCCTACCATGGGTCATCCGAGGTAAGCTGCTTTTGTGTATGGGTTGTTGTCTGCTCTACCATAAAGCAGTGTTATACACCATCTTGGGACTCCCCATCACACCATCTAGGTAGAGAATCCAACTACCTGCGTGCCTGTGTCGCTATGGCATAGTACCTGAGCTATTTTACAATTAATACAATAAAACAGATCAAAACCTTAATGTATGAAGTGACACTTGTACTAGACATACTGCATGTACATGCCATTTATTGCATCTATATGTATATGTAATGTACAAGTAACATGTATATGTATGGCGTCTTTGATACTCATGCACATATGTGAAGAGGTACAGAGGCCTCTCTTTCCCCCTCCTTTCACCATCTCCATTTTACAACTATATGTGCTTGCTTTCTGGCATCAGTGCGGCTCACAGTTCAATCTGCAGGAAGAGGGTATGGCAGAGGAGGTGACGAGCCCTAACTTCATTCTGACACCACTTTTCCAGAGACCTGAGATGCTCTGTGAAGAATCTGAACCCCATATAGAGGATGCTGCTGTAAATGGTTTCAGTTAGAGGCAGTGATTCCACAGCTGTCTCATGAACAGCTTGGTCTTTTGTGTGCGGGGCAGACAGCTGGGGTCAATAATCTGCCGTCCCAGGCTATGCCATCCCCACTTGTGAATTATAAGCTGCAGTCCCTGCTACAACTGGTGTGTACCCCAAAGTAGACCAAGCATTAGCACTTTCAGTTTCCTACAGAAAGAAAATTGGTGTGAATATGCTGTCTGGTGTACCACGGATGATTTTGAAACCCTTGCCCAGCTTCAGCCAAATCTCTTGAGACACAAACAGTATAGAAAATGAGTGAATATGTAGAAAATAGAGATCCTATTAATGTTCTCACAGAAGGGAAAGCTAACATAGGAATTCCTATCTTGCAGGATTCCAGGAATCCGCATGGGCAAAGGATGTTGCAAACATGACTCATACTTTCTGCTGCGCACAGAATGCCTGTGGCATGCTCAGCCCTATCAGCTCAGGTTTAGAGGGCAGCATGCTCAGTTTTATGGAGTTTTTAAAAGTTCCACTACTGAGTACTGGTGGAACTTGTCATCTGCTGGAATAAACAGCATTTTGAACATAGTACATTGGTACACAATGCCACAGTACTTCCTGTAATTTCTTTATACACTGAATTTAAGAGTTGAGCAGGTATTAAATACAGATTATATTGACTATGACTTTATTACATTTAGGATTAAATGATAAAGCCCTCAAGACATCCAAACAGTTACTCAGTCTACAATCAGAAAATTACCTTTAACAGAGTTATCTCACTGATTTTTTCAGAAGTCACAACAACAGGACAGCCTGCGTTCCCTTCTCAGAGACTGTGGCTATTCCCAGTGCAGTGTTTCTTTGGGGAATGGGGCTGTAGTTTTTGTTTTGCATATAGGGCACATTTTTGTAGCTTTCTTATTATCCCGTGTGACTCTAAACAGGACACGTACCTCAAAGAACACCCACATCTTCCAAGAAGCAGTGTGACATGCTTCTGAGATCTTTCCCTGTTCCTCCTAAAAATGGTCCAACTGAAATTCTTCTACCTGTGGAAATTTGCTTTCTATAGCCAACAGAACAGTTAGGTTTTCAAGATAACATTTCTTCTCACAAGTGACTGTCTACCAGCTGTTAAATCTTGTAGAGGCAAGTTCCTGGCACTGTAACCACCCCTTTGTTCCTTAATCCACTCCAGAAGTGATTTGCATACCAATTTCAATTGCCTCCCCAGCAAATAACCAGTGACAAGGACATGGTGCAGAGAGAATCGACCTGACCACATTTACACAGATCTGAAGGACTTGGTGGAAAGCAGGTAGTCCTATAAAAAAAATCACTCCTGTAGGCCTCTATGCACAAATGCTGTTATGACTCCTGTAAAAGCACATCTAGGGAATCTTACTCAAATAAGCACAAAATAACCTTCTTGAGCTTTGTCCAGGATAGTGGAAAAACAATGGTTTAGACTGGCCAATATTCAGTGCTCTTTGTTATAAGCTGCAATACCTCCAGTTCTGGTTACACTACCTTGTCCATCAGCAAGGGAAAATAATGAACTTGTTTCTTGACCAGTTTCCTTGCAATACCAGGTGGCAGGCGTGCCCTAAGCATAGAGATTAGCTGTAATATCACACGTTCTGGAAAAGGAGTGCTGATAAACGGGACAGGGGGTCTGAATTTTGGTCAACAGTGAGATACATGCACAGATCTGCCCTCCTGCACCCTTCTGTAGGGGCTTCTACAAGGAAGCTTCTAGAAGCTTCTCACAGGAGGAGAGCCACTGACGAGGCTCCAGTGCAGGCAGTGTCGGCTGGCTCCATGACAGACCTGCCACCAAACAAGGCCGAGCCCATCAGTGTGCAGAACCGCAGCCCATGGGAGGGCCTCACATTGGAGAAGTTTGTCAAGAACACCTCCCCAGAAAAGCGGCAGGCTGATGAGAAGCAGCACCTGTGGCAGGCGAGCCCATGGAGGTTGACCCGTCACAAAATGGCGGGCCGGCCTGCTCCCGCCCTTGCCGCCACAGGATAGCACACGTTCCAGGCAGCTCATGCTGGCGGACGTGTGGCTCCTCAGGAGGAAACCTGCTCCCGACCCGCTGCCTCGCACCCCTGGATCCGCGCTGGAATATGCATTCCCCAGCCCACAGGCTCGCACCAGAGCTGCTCCCGCTGCCGACCGCGCCCCTGGCGCCACAGAAAGGAGGCGGGAGACGGCCCTGCGCCTCTTGCCACTCATGTGGCCGACTCCCAGCTCGGGTGCGAGGAGGCTTTCGAAGGAGGGCGACGGAATCCAAGGCAAGAAGGAGACGGAGAAAGAAACCCAGAGAGAAGGAGAAGCAGCAAGCGGGTAATGGGGGCGGTCCCCCACCGGTAATAACTAGGGCCAGCCCTGCTCAGCTTCCAAGGTGGGGCACCGTTAAGAGCGGCGCAGCTGCAATCTGCTCCCCGCCAGGAGGGGCGCCAGCGGCAGCCTTAAACCTCCCGCCTCAGTCGCGCTTCGCCCACCACAGGCTTCCCCGGCCGGGGTCGGGCCGGCTTCCCCGAGCCCTCCCCCGGCTCCTCCCCTGGTGCCGCGGCTCTCCCCTTCCTGCAGCGGAGACGTGGTGGCCGCCGGAGCGCAGTGATGTGGCTGTGGCTGGGGTTGTCGGCGCTGCTGGCGGCGGCGGGCGCGCAGTACGAGCGCTACAGCTTTCGCAGCTTCCCGCGGGACGAGCTCATGCCGCTCGAGTCTGCCTACCGCTACGGCCTGGACCAGTACAGCACCGAGAACTGGCCCGAGAGCGTCAATTACCTGGAGGTCAGCATGAGGCTCTACCGCCTGCTGCGCGACAGCGAGGCCTTCTGCCACCGCAACTGCAGCCACGCCGCCGGGCAGCCCCCCGCCGTTGCGGCCCACCCCGCCGCTGCCTCCGGGGGAGCTCTGGCCGAGCTGCGCCTCCTGTCCGGGGTGCTGCGGCGGGCGCAGTGTCTGAGGCGCTGCAAGCAGGGGCTGCCTGCATTCCGGCAGGCCCAGCCCGGCCGCGACCTCCTCGAGGACTTCCAGCGCCGAGAGCCCTACAAGTACCTGCAGTTCGCCTACTTCAAGGTGAGGCCCTGCCCTTCGTCCCTCCTCATCTTCTGTCTGCTGTGTCTCTGCTCTGCCTGCGCCTCCCCACAGTCTTGCCTGGTGCTCTACCACACTCCAGCCAAGCCAAGTAAGCCAAACTTGCCTGGCAGTGTTGCGGTGGAGCGAGGGGGACAGTGTGGACTGTCCCTGCACAGGCATATTGGATGTGGATACCTCACACACCCACCTGTGGCAAAGCTCCTGACCTATTGCCTGGCACTCCAAGTAGTTGCTCTGCTCATTCCCCATCACCTTCTCCACATCAGTTTACCTGCCAGTTGTCCACCCCACCTCCATTTCTGTCTGTGGTTGGGCCTCCCAGTCCCTGCCCTCCTGGGGCTCTGCACTTCTTTGT